GGGCCGGCCAGAACGGGGCTACTAGCAACAGACGGACCCCATCCCGGCGTACCCTCGCCAGAACGGGAGCAGAGCGATCGGGGGAAAAGCGTACAGACGAAGCCTCGGTGGAGCTGGATGCATGAGGGAGAACCAGAGCGGACAGTGTGCAGTTTCCTGCGACGCAAATAGATCCACTCCCGCCTGGACAAATTCTCTCCAAATGAGCTCCACCACCTCGGGGTGGAGCCTCCATCCCCCGGGCCTCAGCCCCTGTCTCGACAGGATATCTGCCCCCTGATTTAGATAAGACCTTCTCTTACTCTCATGACTGTCGTGAGCATGGACTCGATTCGAGCAGGAGACAGACGTGCCTGCATCGAGGTTGAGTCCCACACCACGCCTAAATAAGTGGTTCTCTGTAGTGGAGAAAGAACACTCTTCTTGGCATTCAGTCTTAACCCCAGCTCTCTCATATGGGCGAGGATGACATCTCAATGTCGAGCCGCCATCTGCTCCGATTGAGCTAGTATTAACCAATCGTCGATGTAATTGAGTATGCGGATGCCCTTGAGTCGCAGAGGAGCCAGAGCAACATCCACACACTTCGTGAAAGTGACACGCCGAAGGGAAGAGCTCAATATTGGTATGCTTCGCCCCCGAAAGCAAACCTTAGGAACTTCCAGTGTTGAGGGAGGATGGAAACATGGAAATAAGCGTCTTTCAGATCTATCGTAACAAACCAGTCTTCGGACTGGATTTGAGAAACTATCTGCTTGATAGTGAGCATCTTGAACCGAAGCCGTTTGATAGCGCGGTTCAGAAGACGGAGATCTAAGATCCGACGCAACCCCTCCATCCTTCTTCGGAACGATGAAGTAACGGCTGTAGAACCCGGACACTCCCTCTCTCGAGAGAGAGGCGGAACACGTTCTATGGCCCCCTTCCTCAAGAGAGTATCTACTTCTTGTTCCATTACCAGAGCCTGCTCGGGGCCCACTAGTGTGGGGATGACCCCGTTGAAACGAGGCGGACGAGAACCGAACTGGATTCTGTAACTGTACCAATTGGGCAGTTGACTGGGTCCTGCAGTCGCTGTCCGCACCATGATGCGAAAAGTTTCCACTTCAAGACGTACTGTTTCCTAGTGTCCGAGAACCATACTCGGGCCGGCCAGAACGGGGCTACTAGCAACAGACGGACCCCATCCCGGCGTACCCTCGCCAGAACGGGAGCAGAGCGATCGGGGGAAAAGCGTACAGACGAAGCCTCGGTGGAGCTGGATGCATGAGGGAGAACCAGAGCGGACAGTGTGCAGTTTCCTGCGACGCAAATAGATCCACTCCCGCCTGGACAAATTCTCTCCAAATAGGAACTTCCAGTGTTGAGGGAGGATGGAAACATGGAAATAAGCGTCTTTCAGATCTATCGTAACAAACCAGTCTTCGGACTGGATTTGAGAAACTATCTGCTTGATAGTGAGCATCTTGAACCGAAGCCGTTTGATAGCGCGGTTCAGAAGA